ATCCAGGGGTCCGGGAACAACCTCTCACCCACTGCGTCTCCCCCAGAGAAATCGGGCGCGGCGCCCCCTGGAGGGCCCTCCCGGCTCAGCAGCAGCAGCTCCTCGGAGTCGGCGAGCAGCAGCTCCAGCGGGTCCAGCTCGGACAGCAGCGACTCGGAGTGAGGCCGGGCCTGGCCACCAGCCCGCGGCCACCGCCTGCGCCGACCTCCGGGTGCCCCCTCGGTCAATATACTACTTGTGTTCACGCTGCGCGGGTCCTCTTTCCTCCGGGGCCGCCGCCCGTGTCGCCGTCCTAGGTCGGAGCCATCTGCGCGCGGGCTTCGGGACGGCGTGTGTCCGCGGCGCGGCCGAGTCAGAGGGCTCAGGGGTGACCACGGCAGAGGCTCGCCCGGCGGCCGGAGGAGAGCGAGGAGATGGCGGCGGAGCGGCCCGCAGGGCCCCCTCCCCGGGCCCGCCTGTTCCGGGGTGCCCCCTCGGCTGTTTCCGAGGCGGTTCTGTATCCGGGAGCTGGGGCTTCGTCCCCCCGCCCCGGGGGCCCGTGGCTGCGTGTGCAGGTTTCATACACTGAAACTTTTACCTCAACTTAAAAAAAAAAAAAAAGGAAAGGAAAGAAAAGAGAAAAAAGGAGACTTTTTGTAAGGTTCCGCAGTTTTCTACGAAAGTCCCCCCGTGTGTCCCCCGTCAGCGCTGCGCGGCCCCACACTCCACAGCCGCCTCCCACTCGTGTATATATGAATACTTTATTTATTAACACATTGGTCATTTTTTTAAAAAACAGAAAAGAAATAAAACAGCAGAGACGCAGGCCTCGGTCTGCGGAGCCCAGGCTCCAGGTGCTAGTCCCTGCGGTGCTCGGCGCCCGCCCGGGGGTGGGTGGGGTGGGGTGGGGGTCCCTGGGCGGCCCCGGGACGCGCCCGGCGCTCTGCCCGGCGCCCGCCCCTCGCTCGTGCAGTTGTTTTGTACTCTGGTCTCTCCAGGACGGTTTAACCGAAGCCGGTTTAGGGAACCCCAGTATATAATAGAGACTTTGTAATCTGAGAGGGGACGTGTATAGTAAATCAAGTCTTGATTTTTAACTTTCTATTGTAAAGAGAAGAAGAAGAATATAGAGTTTAACAGAAGTATGTTCTGGTTTTGTGTTGCCGGGGGCTCCCCTCCGGCCTCTGAGCGCAGGGATGGCCGCGCTGCCCTCCGGGTCCGGCAGCGAGGCCCCGCTCGGCCTGCCCGCCCGCCCGCCCGCCCGCCCGGGTGCGGGCCCTCACCTCCGCCGCCCAGGGAGGACTCGCCCTGCTGCCCCATCCGTCTTCCAGCCTCTCTTGGGGGTCAAAGAGCCTCCGGCTTCAGGAGGGCCCCCGCTCACGCCCTTTCCATTCAGCAGGAATGGCTGAGACGGGCGGCTCCCAGGCAGCCCGGGCGCCGCCTGCGTGGGTGCCGGTCCGGTGGGTGGGCTCAGCGGTGCCCTGGCCACATCAGCTCGTGGCCGTGGGGCAGGGGCCCGCTCTCTGCTGAGGGCGGGTGCTGTTCCATCTCCTTACTGTGGGACTCCCGACGCTGAGTTCTGAGCCAGCTTGTTAAACTTTTAAGTTTTGTTTATAAGAAATATATAAGTGGGTTTTAAAACTTGCCATTTTTAAAGTTCCCCTAGTTTTTCAGAGTGTTTTCTAAAGAGCCTTTGGCGGCACATTCACCTGCGACAGGAACCAGTGCCCGCAGGATCCAGTGCCCGGGGCTCCCGTGGAGCACCGGCCCCGCCTGGGGAGCGGAGAGTCACGGGGAGCGGCTGGCGGGAGGAGCACGGCCCGAGCCGAGCACGGAGGGAGCCGTCTGGGCGAGACAGCGGGTTCTCGGACCTCCCCGGGCCGCTGTCACTGGAGCCCCTACGGCTTTCTGTCCAGACGGCACAGCCAGTTCCTCTAGAGTCTGGACCCCTCCTCCAGCCTCAGCTCACCCGTGGCTGTTGGTCAGGCCCCTCTGTGCGGGGAGGCTGCGGCGGGCCGGGCGGGGCCCCGCGGGCAGGAGCGAGGGGCCCGAGCCGGTGAGGGAAGTTCGCACGTGTTCAGCAGGTTGGCCACGAGAGGGAATGGCTTTGGACGCGGCCGCGTGACCATGACCGTGACTGTGAGGCTCAGGGCAGGTGCGGCGCGGCAGGACGTCCTCCCGCCACGCGCTGTGAGGTCGCCTGTGTGTTCGGTTTGTTGTTTTGCGGGTTCACGTCCTTCACCGTCGTCCGGGGAGAAGGGGCCCCGCGTGGCGTCCAGAGCGGCTGCTCCCTCCTCGCCGACGCTTCCTCAAGTTTTCCTTTTTATATTTAAAACGTTACTTTTCTGTTTGACGTGCATGCGAGTTTACCGTACCTTTTCTTAAACTTTTTAGTGCCGTTTCTAGTATATTCCTGTAAATGTCCGTTACTGAAAACGAGTCCATTGTAAGTAGTTTTAGCTTGTTTACTGCCACGCTGGCCTCCACACCGCGGAATAAAACGGTAGGAAGCGCGCTGATGTTTCTGGTAACCATGGGCCCTTCTCCTGGGGCGTGCGTTTTGTTTTCATAATAAAAGCAAAAAAGCAAACACGAGGAGGTGCCTGTGTGCTTTCCTCTGCATCTGGCGGCTCCGCGCTCGGGCAGTGGGGTGGGGCGGGAGCACTGCCCTCAGCGCCCCTGGCCTGGAGCTCGGCGGGCACACCCCAGGGTGCGCCCGGAACCCGCCCCTCAGCCTGTGGCCAGGCACCTGGTCCAGGGGCCTCTGGAACACCACCCCAGAGTGTGGGTTCCCCCACCTTCCGGTCCTTGCTCCTGCGCCTCCGTCTGCACTCGGGGTTCCTGAGGTTCCCAGGACTTCAGGCTTCAAACAGCAGACGGTCCCCCGACGCCACGCCAGACCGGACGGTTTACGGGCTGAGCGGGGACGTCCTGACACCACTCTGCGAACCGGGCCAGCCCGGGAAAAGGTCCTTGGCCTAAGTCCCAGCCCCGTGCACCCACTCCCAGGCCAGTGCTGGCGGGCACCCCGGCCGGTCCCACCCACACTCGCCTGTCCAGACAGCCCCTCCCCGAGGACCAGGACGGGCGGCATGTCCCCTCAGGCAGGCAGCTGTGCCCGCATGCCCCAGGGCACCGTCACCTGCACACTGGCCTGTGCAGACCCCGAAGGGGCCTCGCTGTGCAGGAGGAACGCGCGGCGACAGGCAGCATGTGGCCGAGAACCGTCGGCAGAGGCCAGGCCTGAGCTGAACAGGAGCATCTGGGGGAGCTGGGTGACCCCACGGTGTCCCTTCCATGTCGGCCGACCAGCTCGCCCAGGGAGGCACAGGGCATGCGGCGTGCATGGTGACAGCAAGACGCTGCCCGCCCGTGGAGGGCCTTGTCCACACCGTCTGCGCAGCTGAGCAAGGAGGAAAATCCAAAAGGGGTGCCTGGGGGCTGCCGCCTGGAGGTGACTGGGACAGTGTGGCGGGACTGTCCGTGCGTCTCTGGGGAGGGGGAGGTACTGTGCTGGGGGTTAGCAATCATGACACGCTAAGTAGAGAACCAAGGAACACATCACGGACCGACACAGACACAGGAGCGAGGAGAGCCCCGAAGGGTGTTTATTCAGAAAAGAACCACCGGCTTCGGCAGCGGTCCTTCCGGTGCGCACAGCGGCTGCGGGACGGGGACTAGCACTGGGCGCTGCAGACAGCGGCGGCAGCCTCGGCCCCGCTGACACTGTCCGTCCGGAACCTGCCGTCCCAGCCTCCCTGCCAGGAACTAGGGCGCTGTCAGGTGCTTCCGTGTTCCTTACTGTCCATTTCCCCCTGTTCGAGAGCCAGTGCGTTGTACCAACCGTTCCGGTGACGAGATTTGAAAGGCAGCTGCTGTCGGCCTGTGCGTGCCATCCTGGCCCTGCAGGTAGATTTCCCACTGGTGATGCCTGTTCCTTCACCTTTCGCTAGATCGTTCTTCACCAGGCAGAAGTGGACATTAAAAGTAACCTACGCCAAAACCGGTGTGGCTCAGTGGATAGAGCGTCGGCCTGCGGACTGAAGGGTCCCAGGTTCGATTCCGGTCAAGGGCATGTACCTTGGTTGCGAGCACATCCCCAGTAGGAGGTGTGCAAGAGGCAGCTGATCAATGATTCTCTCATCGATGTTTCTAACGCTCTGTCCTCCCTTCCTCTCTGTAAAAAATCAATAAAATATCTTTAAAAAAAAAAAGTAACCTACGACCGCACGGCTGGTGTGGCTCAGTGGTTGAGCCTCGACCTAAGAACCAGGAGATTGTGGTTCGATTCCCGGGCAGGGCACGTGCCCGGGCTGTGAGCTCCATCCTCAGTAGGGGATATGCAGGAGGCAATCGATCATGATTCTCTCGTATTATTGATGTTTCTCCCTCTCCCTTCCTCCCTGAAATCAATAAAAACATGCTTTTTAAAAAGCAACCTAGTGCCAAGACCGGTTTGGCTCAATGGATAGAGCGTCGGCTTGGGGACTGAAGGGTCCTGGGTTCGATTCCGGTCAAGGGCATGTACCTTGGTTGCGGGCATATTCACAGTGGGGGGTGTGCAAGAGGCAGCTGATCGATGACACTCTCTCATCGATGTTTCTGGCTCTCTATCTCTCTCCCTTCCTCTCTGTACAAAATCAATAAAATATATTTAAAAATATATATAAATAAATAAAAAGCAACCTAGTACCTGAAATTGATATAATACTGAATGTCACCATAATTAGAATGACAAAAAAGCAAACACAACCTCCCAAGCTTGGAAAGCTTATTGGTAAGCAGGTGCCCTCTTGGTTGGTTTCTGGAATATGAAAAGCGCAGCCGATAGGGTGCCCGGCCAGCTGGAGGCCGGAGGACACTGTGCCCAGCAGCACGGAACCAGGGGCCGCAGGTTCCTGCACCATCGCTGGGTCCTCACCTTCACCACTTGGTCTCCCCATGAGGCCCGGAAGCCACAGGCGGCTGGCGGGGACTCGGCCATGCTCACGCGGGCACCGGGCCCGGATTGCACAGCGCGGTCACATCACGGAGCAGAACCGGGACTGGCCCGTGTCCCGGGAGACCTCGAGCTTGTTGCGGTCCCGGACCAGGATGGCCTGGTTCCCGTACTGCGAGTACCACATGCTGCGGCTCCTGCTCAGGTAGGTCCCGGGCGGCACCGCCTCCAGCTCCCGCTGCTGCTGCTGCCAGATGAGCAGGGATGTGTCCCGGAACCGCTGCCGGGCGTGGCCTTCGGACAGGGCCCTCTCCGCCAGCGGCACCCGGCCGCTCATCCCGCCTCGCCCCGGGCCGCCCCGAGCGGAGGCCTGGGCCCGGGCCTCGACGGCGCTGGCCGCTCCGGGGCGCACCTTTTCCGGCTGCGGTCCGAGGGCTGGCTCCCGGTTTAATCTGATGGTGGAGAAGAGGGCTCCGGCCGGTGGGGGGCGGCGCCCTGGCGAGGGTGGTGGTGTGGGGATGCTGGGGAGCCGCTGAGCATTCTGAAGACACCTAGACCTTCCGTGAGGACAAGCGGGTAAGCGGCTCCGGTGACAGCTGTGTGCACTGTGCTGGACGTGGCGCTGACCGGCACCAGGCACCTACCTGGGGGGTAGGGGGAGGGCATTCGACAATGTTTGCTGTGATGCTGACACCAGGGCTTGGCCCGCTAACTTGAAAAGAGGTGCCCTCCGAAAGGGGACTGTGCAGCTTGACAGAAGTCCCTGGCAGCGCCCATGCCGCCTGCCCCCACAGGAGCCTAGGGCGGCCCCTGCCTGATCGAGGGTGCCACCAGGGGGTGGAGCCAGCGTCTGCTCGGGGTTCCTGGTCAGGCTAGTCTGCAACTCTTCCCCCAGGTGGTCCTGCAGGAGAGAGCACACTGTCAGGGGTTGGGGGGCAGTGGCAGGGTTTGTGACCCAGAATCTGAACCCGGGGTCAGTGCTAAACCCAGCTGCCCACATGGTCCCCGTTTTGGTCACCCTGGGAAGGCCTAGGCTGGGAGCTTGATCCTCATCCTCTTACTGGCTAAGGGGTGGGAGTGTCCTGGCAAACAGCTCACTGGAGCGCCAGTGTCCGTATCAGTCTTATTTTTTTCTTTTTAAAAAAATATTTTGATTTTTCACAGAGAGGAAGGGAGAGGGACAGAGAGCTAGAAACATCAATGATGAGAGAGAAACATCCATCAGCTGCCACCTGCACACACACACACACACACACACACCCACTGGGGATGTGCCTGCAAGCAAGGTACATGCCCTTGACCGGAAGGAATCGAACCTGGGATTGACTCTCCATCCACTGAACCACACCGGTTAGGGCTCAAGCAAGTCTTAACCTCAAAAGGCACAGGACCCCGGGCCTGCTCCCTGGCCAGCCCAACCGGGGAGCGCCGTTACCTCGCTGCAGGCTGAGGGCTGCCTGGTCCTCCCCAGCACGGCGCCTTCTTGCTGCTCCAGGCATGGATGCCCTGGGAAGAAACCTGGGTCAGCTGGAAACCAGACAGGGAAGCGCCCCCCCCCACCCCCCCCCCGCCCCAGCCCTCAGATGCCTCCCCAGCCACGCAAGTTCCTTTCTCCGGGAGGCCCGTGCCCCCTCCCCATCGCCAGGCCCTGCTCACCTGGCTGCTGCTGCTATGTCCCCCCTCTCCCCCCTGCTGCGCTGCGGATCCCCAAGGCACGTCCCCACCCGCTCCCCAGCATCCTGGCCCCCTCGCCCAGCCTGCGCACCAGGTTCCAACCACTCATCCCCATCCCCAGCATCCGTCCCCCTCGCCCTGCCTGCGCCCCGGATCCCCTCATGGCACGGCCGCATCGCCTCCCGCTCCCGGGTCCCCTTCCCCCTGCGGCCCGCGCTCGCTGTCACCCGCGCTGTGGAGTCCCCGCAAGGCCCGGGCCGGCGCGGCGCAGACCCAGGCGGCGCCCGTGGGCCGCAGGGCGCGTCTCCATGGCAGCGCCGCAGGCATGCCCAGCCGAGCGCCGAGGACCGGCAGGCCCGAGCGATGAGCCGGAGCCATGGATCTCCCCGGAAGCGGGGGCGGGGCCGGAGCGCGGGCTTTGTGGGTGGGGCCTGTTGCTGGAGGAGGGGATGGAGAACGTGGGCGGGGCCTGTCCTGGAGGAGGGGCTTGTGGGGCGGGGCTTGGCGCGGAGGAGGGGCTTGTGGAGGGCGGGGCCTGCCTGGAGGAGGGGCTTGTGGAGGGCGTGGCCTGTTGTGGAGGTGGGGCTTGTGGAGGGCGGGGCCTGCCGTGGAGGAGGGGATGGAGAGTCCCGGTCCTCCCACCTCATTGTTGGTCCTAGCACTTTATTTTATTTTATTTATTTACTTAAATATATTTTATTGATTTTTTACAGAGGGGAAGGGAGAGGGAGAGTTAGAAACACCCATCAGCCGCCCCCTGCACACCCCCCACAGGGGGTACATGCCCCTGACTGGAATAGAATCTGGAACCCTTGAGTCCACAGGCTGACGCTCTATCCACTGAGCCACACCGGTTAGGGCTCCTAGCACTTTATGGATGGTACTTTGTGCAGCTGCTGGCGTACTTTAGCTATTAGCACTCTCACTCCCAGGAACTGATGCAATTGCTTTTTAAGTAGTTTAGTGTTGCCCTGGGCCCACTGTCCCAAAGAGGTTTTGAATTCACGCAGGTCAGCAGGTCCCACCCGCCCTCCTCCGGTCCTGGTCCTGGCCCAGTGACACCCCTGGGAGGCTCTGTCCTTGCTGGGCCAGTGGGGGTGTGCAAACGCTTCCCTCCGGTGCTCATCAGGAAATGACGAAGGCTGTCCCCAGGGCACTGCGCCTGCAGCTGTGGATTTGTTCTCAAGGACACAGACATGTTCAAACCCCCCACGGGCTGGACCGCGATCGGTTTCAACACCTTCAGAGCATGTAAATCGTGCACAACTAGGTCACCGGAAAGAAAACCAGCCCTAAAAACAACCATAAAAAGCTAACTGAAGCCCAGCAGGCATGCATGGCTCAGGGGTTGAGCCTCGCCCTATGAATCAGGAGGTCAGGGTTCGATTCCCGGGCAGAGCACATACCTGGGTTGCAAGATCCATCCCAGTGTGGGGGTTGCAGGAGGCAGCCGATCCATGATTCTCTCTGGTCATGAATGTTTCTATCTCTCTTTCTTCCTTTCTGAAATTAATAAAAATATATCTTAAAAAAATTTAAAGGGGACTTATAACAGCTTCTGTTATAAGCCCCTGTCGTTCCCCTAAAGAGAGGATGGGGGCGGGGGGTTGAGGGCGTGGGGGGCACCCAGCTCATTTATAAATAGGCAGGTCTCCCATCAGACGTAAACATTTTTCTCCGACTTCATAAGAAAAAAAGGCAAACCAACAGTTTAAAAAAGGGAACCAGGAAAACCCAAATCAAAACAACACAAAACCACTCACATCCACAGGAAGTCTCAACGCGAAAACATTGCCCAGACCGAGGGCCAGTGATGGCAGAAGTGTGGGGGCTGGTCACAGTCTCATGCTGCCCGAGGCCATGGATGGGCCCTTTGGAAAACAGCATCAACAGGCCACAGGAGAGAACACCGGCCCATAAGACACGCCATTTCCACGAAACGTGTTGTTTTCCACAAAGTCCGAGGGCCCCTGTCCTGCATGGAGTGCTTCCATGCCCAGGGACACACCCAGGAGCTGTGTGCTCGCACACACGGCCGAGGGGGTGCAGGGCCGCAGGAGTGCTCAGGGTCACCCCGAGACTCCCCAGTGCCCGCTGCCGCCATTGGGTCGGGAAAGGCAGGGGGCACTGTCACGGGAGTGCTGTGCTTGGGCGTGAATGTGAATGAACAGCAGCATACACACCCCGACACCCACAGGGCATCACAGAAGCCAGGGACCTATTGATGGGAGAGAGCTGCCCACCTGCTGGCTGACATACAAGTCAGGAAGAACACTGCCCCACGGGCAGCGTGACATTGCAGATCCAGGGGTAATGCTGCAGGAGAAAATGAGGCCCACAGTGTCAGTGCACCGGTGAGCTTGGGGGGATCGGAAGCGGGTAGCTTCACAAAAGAGGGATCTCGTCAGAGTCTGATTCTTGGCTCTGTGCTGAGCACGTGGGTTCTTACGCTGTGACGCTGCATTAAGCTGTGCATTAATGGGTGTGTGTTTAAAAAATATCCTTTTATTGATTTCAGAGAGGGAGAGAGAGATAGAAGCATCCATGATGAGAGAGGACCGTGGATCGGCTGCCTCCTGCACGCCCCAACTGGGGATGGAGCCCACAACCCGGGTCTGTGCCCTGACCAGGAATGGAACCAAGACCTCCTGGTTCATAGGTTGACAATCACTAAGCCATGCCAGCCAGATTGTACATGAATGTTTTTATTTTTTAAAATATATATTTATTTATTGGTTTCAGAGAGGACGGGAGAGGGAGATAGAAATATCCATGATGAGAGAGAATTATTGATCAGCTGCCTCCTGTACCCCCCCCCACACCCTCCCCTCTCCGCCCTGGGGATTGAGCCCACAACCTGGGCATGTGTCCTTTGGACCCTTCAGTCCGCAGGCCGACGCTCTATCCACTGATCCACACCGGCCAGGGCTGTACATGAATGTTTTCTGCATCTTCCTGTTTGTCATGTTTCACACGCACACAGAGATTTCAGAATAGGAAGCAGATGACAGGTTGTACGAACACAGACAGCAGCTGATGCCAGACATCGTATTATTTCACCTGTAAACACACTGGCGTTTTCACAGCCGCAGTAACACGATCCCACCCCGTCTTAAAGGAACAGTTACCGCAGCTCATCTCCGGTCCGCCCTCACAGTCTTCTGATTACCTGGTAAATGTCATCACTGAGGTTGTTGGGATTGGGATTCAAGCGTCTGAGACCCCGCGGCCCAGGCCCCTCGCTGGCAGGCACACCCTCCTGTCCTACCGGGGCAGTGCCACCCCGCGCCAGGGCCCCTCAGCACCTCACTTACCATGGCACTGGGCTCCTGTGGCCGAGGCCGGCCAGTCCTGATGGCATGCCCGGGGCTGCCTCCCGGGACGCCTGCACACGGGTCGGAGCGGGGGAGGGGGGCACGCTGGGAAGCACGAGGTGTCTAGTGAGACCCTCAGGCCATCACGCTGACCACCCTCACCGTTTTCCACGTTGGTCAGTCCTCACGGGAGGGTATTTTCCCATTGATGTTGTAGAGAGAGTGGAGGGGAGGGGAGAGGGAGGGAGAGAGAAACATCAATGTGAGAGAGAACAGCAGTTGGTTGCCTCCGTCACACGCTCCGACAGGGACCAGGGGATCGAGCCTGCAGCCGAGACACGTGCCCTTGAGTGGAATCGAACCTGGGACCCTTCAGTCTGGGGGCTGAGACTCTATCCATGGAGCCACCCTGGCCAGAGCCACCGTCACCGTTTTTGAGGGCATGGCTCAGGGCGCCAGGTGCGTTCACACGGCTGTGCAGCCGCCACCACCATCCTCCCCAGGCCTCTCTCACCTCCCACACGAGCTCTGCCCCACTCAGCACCCCCTTCCCACGCCCCTCCTCCCGGCCCCAACCCCGGCCCCGGCACTCTTCCTGGCCATAGGTGTCCCGATGCCGGACACTTCATGGAAAGGGGACCGGAGACCCGCCTGCGGTGCCTGGCCCCTGGCTCAGCACAGTAATCAGAAGCACGTGGCGTGGCATGTCAGAGCTGCACTCGATTTTAGTCTGACGGACACCCAGGCTCCGATGGACCTCGCTCTGTCCATCCGCCGTCGATGGACACAGGTGGTGGCCACCCTCTGGCTCCTGTGGGCAGCGCTGCCCTCACAGGGCCATGCAGACTTGGTGGGGACACAGGGAGCATGGTCAGCTGTGTGGGTCAGAGAGGCCACTCCCTCAGGGGTCACGTGGGGAGGAGACCAGAAGGCCGTGGCCACCCACGCCGTGGGGACTGTGACCAGCCCTTCCCAGCCCCCAGACTCACACCGGAGGTCTGCTCCTTGTCTCCTGGGAACTCTGAGAAGACGGAGAAAACATGGTCCTTGCGTTCCTCTGTAATCCCATGGGACCCCAGACTGCCTCACAGGCCAGGACACAGAAGACAGCCCAGCTGGTGTGGCTCAGTGTGCTGAGCGTCAACCCATGAACCAAGATGTTCCATTCCTGGTCAGGACTCATGTCTGGTTCCAGGCTCCATCCCCAGTTGGGGGGCGTGTAGGAGGCAGCCGGTCAATGATGTTTCTCTTTCATCACGTTTCTCTCTCTCTCCTTTCTCTCTCCCTCTCCCTTCCTCTCTCTCTAGAAATCAGTAATAAAAAACAACACAGGCGCCCTGACTGGTTTGGCTCAGTGCATAGAGCGTTGGCCTGCGGACTGAAAGGTCCCAGGTTCGATTCCGGTCAAGGGCATGTACCTTGGTTGTGGGCACATCTCTGGCAGGGGGTGTGCAGGAGGCAGCTGATGGATGTTTCTTTTTCATCGATGTTTGTAACTCTCGGTCCCTCTCCCTTCCTCTCGGTAAAATATCAATAAAATATATTAAAAACGAAACAACACAGAAGACAAATGCCTTGTGCAACTTCACACGCTGGGGGACAGTCCCCCGCCCCCCCAGTGTGGCCGTAGCCACGGAGTCACGTGAGGCTAAGGAAGTTTTAATTGTATTTATTTTTAATTAAAGTTTGATACTCAGTTCAGTGTTGGGCAAACTCGTACATATACTTGGGTCTCCTTCGACAACGCAGTTTGGGGCCCGGAGTGCCCATCGCATGTGTCGGGGAGAACGTGGTGCCCGCGGACATGTGCGTGAGGGTAAAGCACACAGTGGGTTTTGGAAACTTGAACCTGAAAAGTGGGGCGTAAAGTACCTCATCAGCGCATCTGCAGGCCGATTGCCCGTTGAGAGGACGCTATTTCAGACACACCAGCTTAAATAAAATGTGTCGCTAGAATGGCTTCCGCTCCCCAGGAGCCACACACGGGAATAAAGTCCTTGTGGGTCCTGCACAGCGTGAGTGAGAAGAGCCAGACACAAGCCACACGGTATCTGATCCATTTATAGAATCGTCCAGAACGGGCAGCTCCCCGGAGGCAGATGGAGCGCGGCGGGCAGAGTGCGGGGGCACAGCCAGGGGCGTGGGCACACTGCAGGGTGATGGCATGTCCCAGGATTCAGGCCATTGGCACTGGGTCGGGCCAGGCAGCAGGGCCAGCAGGCACTCCCCTCGGCAGTGCCCACCTTTTGCTCCAGGAAGGGCCCGAGATAGGGCTGCCTCCCGCCAGGGCCAAGGGCAGTATTGACAGCTCTGGCCGGGGCTGTGGAATTCTCTGGGTCCTGCGTTCTGACCCCCGAGAGCCTATGCTGCAGGCACCACAGTTAGAGCCCTTGGGTCAGCCACCTGGCACTTGGGAAATAAAAGCCGCTCAGCCAGTGTGGCCCAGTGGTTGAACATCGACCTATGAACCAGGTCACATGCATGGGCTGTGGGCTTGATCCCCAATAGGGGGCCTGCAGGAGGCAGCCAATCAATGATTCTCTCTCATTGTCTCTCTCCTCCTCTCCCCCTTCTCTCTGTAATCAATAAAACTATATTTTAAAAAACACATCCCAAGCTGAAACCGGTTTGGCTCATCGGCCTGTGGATTCAAGGGACCCAGGTTCGATTCCAGTCAGGGGCATGTACCTTGGCTGCAGGCACATCCCCAGTAGGGGGGTGTGCAAGAGGCAGCTGATCGATGATTCTCTCTCATGGATGTTTCTAGCCCTCTCTCTTCCTCTCTGTAAAAAATCAATAAAATATATATATTTTTAAAACCAACCAAACAAAAACACACACGTAGCCAAAACTGGGACTCAGGTAAGTGTTGTGATTGGCTCAGGACCACACAGTGGGCGGGTGGGCCTCCCAGTGGAGCTGGTCAGTGGGGCTAGATAAGGGGCAGCCAGGTGGCGACAGTGCCTCCCACGGGCACCAGGGAGCAGCAGAGGGCCGCGGGCATGGCTGGCTGCTCCAGCCTGTGTGGGGCCCCGGCTCATCACTCAGGTTGGTCCACTGCCCAGGCAGGAAGGCTAAGGGCTCAGGACAGAGGCCCTCCATGCTGGGGGAGCTTCCTGTGGGAGACAGGCATGGATGGGGCACCGTGATGAGGCACCCTGAGGGAGGGCTGGGAGCCGTGCTCTGCCACAAGCGCTGTGCAAAGCCTCTGGGTAATCAGTGCTACCCACTCAGCCCGGGGTGTCGGACCGGGTGGTGCTTCCCCTTCTGCAAGGGAGGAGCGGGCATGGCCAGGGGAGGATGGGCCAGCTGGCTCTCGGAGCGGAGCTGGAGGGGCAGGGGTTCAGGCTCTGTGCCCGCTTTGCGGTGAGATGGTCTGCCTTTGTCTCGGTCAAGGCTGGCGCCTTCCACGCAGAGGCAGAGTCCTTCCTGAGCGGCCACCGCGGTGCCACACCCGTTTCCTGCGAGGAAGGATGCTGGCCAGGAGCGGGGAGCTCCTGGGGAGCCAGGGCCCTCGGCTGCACTCTTCTTCTCCCCCTCGGGCCCTGTGTGCCCTCAGAGGCCAGCCCCCCTCTCCGGGCCCCAGGCTTCCTGTGGAGTCTGGGAAGGGGCAGGTCTTAGGGCAGAGGGCCCAGGGGACCCTCTCGGGTTGGAAATGAAGTGTGAGGTGTCCCTGTGCCCCGGGGTGGACAAAGGTGCAGGTTCAACCACAAGAGTCCAAGGCAGGGCCCCGCACCCCAGATGGTCTGCCCTCCACCTGCCTCTCAGAGCGGGGCACTGGGTGGCCCATCCGTCAGGGTGAGGACGGGGGGGCTCCTGACAGCCAAGTCAGAATCCACTTCGGGGCCAGATGGGCTCTGTGGGTCCCTAAACCCCCTCCCCCTGTCCTCCTCCCCCCTCCCCCTGCCGTAGGAGGCCAGCTGCGGAGGCCCACTCCCTCCGGTCCAGGCCCAGGGCAGAGTGCAGGGCAGGGGCAGGGCCCAGCAGCGGGCAGGGGGCGCGGCCCCAGGCCGGCCTGGCCCCCCTCCCCCCCTCCCATTACTCATCTCAGCCCCGGCCGGCTTGGCCCTCGGGCTGCCGCGCGGCCAGTGCCGGCCTCCGGGTCAGGGCAGGGGAGCCCCTCCTTTGTGCGGGTCAGAAGGGAGCTTCCTGCCGGTCCCTCGCTGGGCGGATGGGAACGGGGCTGTGGGCGCGGACCGCCGGCCTGGCATCCCGCGGGGCCGCCCGGCGGGCCGGGGCCAGGAGCCTCCCCAGGCGGGGCCCCGCCAGTGTCCGTCCTCCCCGAAGCGCCACGCGGAGCCCCAGCGCGGCCAGGGCGCCTCCGGTTCCCGGGCACAGCCCCCCAGGCCGGGATCAGAGCCCCCCAGGCCGGGATCAGAGCCCCCCAGGCCGGGATCAGAGCCCCCCAGGCCGGGATCAGAGGCCCCCAGATCCGGGTCAGAGCCCCCCAGGCCGGGATCAGAGCCCCCCAGATCCGGGTCAGAGCCCCCCAGGCCGGGATCAGAGCCCCCCAGATCCGGGTCAGAGCTCCCCAGGCCCGGGTCAGAGCCCCCCAGGTCCGGGTCAGAGCCCCCCCGGGTCCGGATCAGAGTCCCCCGGGTCCGGGTCAGAGCCCCCCAGGCCCGGGTCAGAGCCTCCCGGGCCCGGGTCAGAGCCCCCCAGGCCCGGGCGCCGCTGGCGGGTCCCCGGCTCCCGCCTCCGCAACTTTGTGCGGCGCCGCGGCAGGAAGTGGCGGGGGCGGGGCGGGGAGGACCGGGGCGGTGCTCGGTCGGGGGAGGGGCCACCCATAGCCCCGCCCATCCCACCGTGGCCCCGCCCCGCCTTGCCCCCGCCCCGGCGCCCCCCGCCCGGCCCAGAGCGCTGCGCCCCCAGTCAGAGCGGGTCCGGAGCGCGGAGCCCGGCGGCGGCGGGAACAAAGCGGCGGCGGGCGGCGGCCCGGGCGCGGAGCGGGGACCCGCCGGCCTTTGTCTCGCGGGGCGGCGGGCGGCGGGCCCGGGCGCAGGATGCGGCGCGCGGCGGGGCGGGCGGCGGGCGGCGGCGGACGGCGGGGAGCCCGGCGCGGGGCCCGCGGGGGCGCGCGCGTGTGAGAGGCCGGCGCCGCCCGGAGCCCCGCGGCCGCACGTGGGCGGGAGCCGAGCCCGCGGGGCCGGGAGGGAGGCGGGAGCGGGAGCGGGGCGCCCGCCTGAAGCCCCGCCCGCCGCGCGGCCCGGAGTCCGGGCGGGATGCCCCGGGGCCGCGGCTGCCGGGCGGCGCGGCGCTGAGGGCGGCGGGCGCCATGGAGCCGTGGCGGCAGTGCGGCCGCTGGCTCATCGACTGCAAGGTGCTGCCGCCCGACCACCGCGTGGTGTGGCCGGCCGCCGTGGCCTTCGACCTGGCGCAGGCGCTGCGGGACGGCGTGCTGCTGTGCCAGCTGCTGCACAACCTGGCGCCCGGCTCCATCGACCTCAAGGACGTCAACTTCCGCCCGCAGATGTCCCAGGTGAGGGCGCGGGCCGGGTCTGGGGGCCGGGGCCGGGGCGCACCCCGGGGCGCGGGGGGCCGGGGCCGGGGCGCGGGGGGCCGGGCGCGGGGCGCACCCCGGGGCGCGGGGCCGGCTGCTCCGAGGGCGGCTCGGGAGGCGCGAAGTTGACCCAAGTCCCTGCAGCCGAGGGCGCGGCCCGGGCGCGGGGAGACCAGCCGGCGGGGCGCCCCGCTCCGCCGCCCGCGCTGCCCCGGAGGCGGAGGCCGGCCAGGGTCCCGTCCGGCCCCGGGGAGCTCGCTGCGCTTGAGGCCTCGACGGGCGTCCCGGGGATCGGGCTCGGCTCCGGCTGGACGCGTGGAGGACACGGCGGAGGCCGGGCCGGGGCGCGGCCTGGGGGCCCCAGGGCGCAGGGAGCGGGGGACCGGGCGCCGCCCCCTCGGCCTCCGCCTCCTCCGGGGCCACCGAGGGCTGCGCTGGCCTCGCGCTCCGCAACTCGGCGCGGAGGGGCCCCCTCGCCTTTCCCGCTGGAGCCCTCGGCGGGCGCCCTCCGGGCGGCTTTGTGGTGGCCGCGGCCGTGTGGTCGCTGTTTGGCAGGAAAATGTCTGCGCCGCCGGCGGGGCTGCCTTCCTGGCCCTGTAAAGGGAACTTGGCTAAGACTTAGGGGGAACCGAGGCTCTCCTCCGCCTTCCTGGAGTCCTGGGGCCCTCACCCCGCAGGCTTTGGGGTCCCGGCCTGGGCCTGGCCTCCCTGCCCCGTCCCGTCCTCATGGCCCCGGGCGAGACGGTGCACAAGGGCCATTCACAGGGCGGCCGGGAAGGGCCGGGTGAGTCACCGCTCTCCAGGCTGGTGACCTCTGCCCTTTGGCTGTGACTGCGTTTCCAAGGAGATGGGGATCTCCCCCTGGGGAGGGTCCTGCCGCCCGCTCACCCGCCGGGACCAAGGAGGCGGCAGCCCAAGGGAGCCCGTGGTGCCCACCCTGCAGCCTGGCCCTGGGGGCTCCCCAGCCAGTCCGTCCTTAGGCACTGCCGGTGCCCGCAGCCCGAGGCCAGACCGGCCCTGCACAGAGTGGGTCTCAGACCCAGTCCCCTCCCCTGCCCTCCCCCCAAACAGAAGGAGGGTGCTGAGGCAGAGCACCCCGGAGTGGGAGTGCCCGCCTCTCTGCGGGCAGGGGCTGCCCAGGCTTGCTGCTCCTGGCGGGTTTCCACCCAAGTGGCCGGGGGACCAGGGCAGAGGGCACAGCGTGGGGTGGGTGGGTCTGCATTGCAGAGGCGGGGATTGGGGGGCCTCTGGGTCCTGGAGCTGCCCCTCCCCAGCTGGGGTCCCGGCGGGGTGGGGAGGGGGGCGGGGTGGGGAGGGGGGCTGGCGGTGGCCGGTGGCTTGGCTCCGCCCCTGTGCCGGAGGTGCAGAGGCCTCCCGGGGTCTCTGGAGCCGTTGGTGGGCACCCCCTGCCCTGGCCGCGGTGAAAGGGTGTGAAGGGAGCTGGGTGGTCGGAGAACCAGGTGGGTGTCTGTATGTCTTTGTGGCCACGTGCTCTGGTTGAAACCTGGCACTGTCACCTCCCAGGTAGGTGACCGGCTTTGGGCCTCAGTTTCCCCATCTGTATAATGGGGCCTTACTAGTCGCCACCTCCTAGCCACACTGTGAGGGTTCGGTGAGGGAGGATGGTCACCAGGACGCTGTGACTCCTGTCCTGGGAGGAAGGGGGCTGGCCTCCGGACCTGTCTCAGAGGCGGGGCTGGTCACACCCACTCAGCATGGCTGTGGCAGGCCAGGGGGCTGCAGGGGCCCCAGGAGCCTGCGTTTTGGGGCGGGCGTTAGATGTGGCTCCGCCTGTGTGTTCACAACGCCAGAGACCTGGTCTTGACCACCAGCGGCTGTGCAAGGACTGGGAGGCCTTGGCCCAGGCCACACGGGGTCAGCGGCAAAACACACTTGAACTTTGGTCTCCCGTCTGGGACCCTTTAAGCAAGTTGTGGCTTCAAGGCTGCCTCGGCCGTCTTGCTGGCTTTCTGAAGTTCCTGGTCCGCTTCTTAGGTTGTTCATGGCATGTGTGTATGTTCGTGTGTGCGTGTGTGTGTGTGTGTGTGTGTGTGTGTATGTGTATGTGTCCGGGGGATGGGCGGGTGGGGAGTGTGGGCCTGTTGACCGTGGGCACCTGGCCACTGTGCCGCCGGCATCAGTCTGCGGTCCTGCTCGGAGGCCTGTGTGATGTCCCGTTGGCTCAGAAGGCCGTGCCGCTTCCCGTGGTGACATCATCTCTCAGAGGCAGCTTCTGGAGTTGGTCTCAGCTGGATGATTGGCCCTACAGGAGCTTAAGAGCAGCGTGCACTCATTGAGCACCCGCTGTGTGCAGGGCCCGGCCCGCGGAGGTATTCACCAAGCCCACGCTCCTCTCTGTCACGCCCTGCTGGAGTCGGCAGGGTCTGCTTTATTTATTTTTTCGTTCCAGTGCCCGGCGGCCACCTTGGCTGTAATTAAGCTAATTAGGTCTGGCCACAATCTGCTGATCACAGGAGGAGCACTGGCGGCTGGGGCGGCTTCGGGCGTGCGGTCCTGAGGTTGCTGATGCCAGCAGAGAGCCCTGGCGGTTGGTCCGCCGTCTGAGCCTCAGGGCGCCCCCCGCCCAGCCTGGTGCCCACACCGCCCTGGCGGGCATGCTCCCGGGAAGAGACTGGGCAGCCGGGCTGTGGGGACACTGTGCAGACCGGGCTGGGGCGTTTCTCCCCACACACACCTCCAGCACAGCGCTGCCTGCCCCGTGTCCGGATGCTCCAGCCTGCCCCGCCCCCGTGCTGTCTCTGTCCATCCTGTGCTGGGGCTCTTGCTGGAAGACTGGCCCCCTGAGCCTCTTCTTCCCGGAGGAGCTAGTCCAGAGATTCCCCTCTGGAAGGTCCCCTCTGATTTCCCTCGCTTCCCTCCTGCGGGTGGCGAGCCCGCCTCGGCCCCGAGTACCTGCTGTATCCCTAACCCTGCCCTTCCCCACTTAAAAAAAAAAAAAAAAAAAAAAAAAAAAATATATATATATATATATATATATATATTTTATTGATTTTTTAGAGAGAAAGGGAGAGGGATAGAGAGCTAGAAACATCGATGAGAGAGAAACATCCATCAGCTGCCTCCTGCACACCTCCTACTGGGAATGTGGTCGCAACCAAGGTACATGCCCTTGACCGGAATCGAACCTGGGACCCTTGAGTCCTCAGGCTAACACTCTTATCCACTGAGCCACACCGGTTTTGGCCCTTCCCCACTTTGGTTCACTTTCCTTACCACTCAGGAGCCATACTGTCGCCGGATCGGTTTCGTCTGTTCCCTCCCTCTCGGCCTTGTCTTCCTCCCTGGGTCCCCCAGGGCTTGGTACCCTTGGTCCCTTGTCTTGAAGGGGTAACTGTCACGCCCTGTGCTGCTTGGCGAGGGGCTGGGTGGGCCAGCAGGGACCCGCAGTGGGTGATGGCCGGATGCCTGTGGACCAAAAGAGTGGCCTTCTGGTGGCCAGGAGTCCCCGAGGGCGATCAGGAGGCTCCTTGGTCCGGCGGCCGGGGTTTGGGACAGCGGGTGGCCGGGAGCAGAGTCGGGGGCTGATTCCAGGGCCACAGGGCGCCCTCTCTTCCCTGTAGGCGGATTAAAACAAGATACACGTTTTAACTGATTTCAGAGAGGAAGGGAGAGGGGGAGAGAGAGACACATCAGTGATGAGAGAGAACTATAGCCGGCTGCCTCCTGCACGCCCCCCACTGGGGATGGAGCCTGCACACCGGGCCTGTGTCCTGACTGGGAATCGAACCATGACCTGGTTCCTAGGTCGACGCCCAACCACTGAACCACACCAGCCGGGCACCGTTAATGTTAAAAGTACATTTTATTCTGCTCACGCGCTCTCCACCGGGGAGTGGCACTCGGATCTCGGGGGGTGAGGAAATTCGTTCTTTTTACCCTAAAGTGCAGGCGCACACGGAGAGCGGAGCAGACGGTGCATCTGTGGCATGGAAGTTTCACGCGGGAGGTGTAGGAGGCGAGCCTGGAGCAGCTCCTTTAGGGGGCGGTAATGAAAGGGTTTCCGCCGGAGTCCCGGCCGGGCCGGGCTGGGGTGGAGAGCAGAGGCTGATGGGCCAGGGTCTGACTTCAGCATCGACCCAGCGATCGGCCTGCCCTCAGCGGCCTGCCTATGGCACAGGCCCCAGGCGTGGGTCTGGGCTCAGCTGCCCAGGTCCTGGCAGGGTGGCCCGGCTGGCGTGGAGTGGACTGGCTGTGCGGTGGGCACAGGGCGAGGGCCTTGGCTGAGATGGAGCGAGGCTGTGTTCTGGGCAGAGAGGCCATTGTGAGGGGCTGGGTCAGGGCCCGGGAAATGGGTGTCTCCGCTCCTGGACTGGGGGCTAGGTGGGGACCGGGCCGGGATGGGGGGCTGACAAGGGGAGCCCCCACCCCAGGCCTCATGTGAGCCCTTTCTTGCCAGGAGGCCCAGGTGACTACGCTGGCCCGTCCTCCTGTGTTCAGGCCGTGGCCGTGGCTGTGGCCGTGGTCGTGGCTGCCCCAGTTTGCGGGGAGGATCACCCAGGAAAGCCTGGGGAGGCAAGTGCCCAGACCCCAAGCCCGCAGCCCTGCGGCTGAGGCCCCACCGTGGCCCTCCCTGCTGACTGCCCCCTCCCGGAGCGCCCGGCCTGAACCCCGGCTCAGGCCTCGGGGCCAGGCGGTCTCTGTCGCAGCGGTGAGCTCTGGGCTCTCGGCCTGTGTGGACGCACGGCGGTGCCCGTACAGTGTGGGAAATGAAGCTGGAATTCCGTAGGACTTTATGTGTCAGGAAATACCGTTCTTTTCATCTTCCCTCCCAGCCGTTTAAAAAGACGGGGGCCTGTCTGGGCCTGTGAGCTGTGCTGAGCCGGGGGCGGCCTCCGAGCCCTGCCCTTGTCCTCTGTCCCCGGGGCGGGCCTGGCAGAGCTGTGTGGGTGCAGGCCCCCCCAGGACTCCTTTCCCCCTGCACGTGGCCTTGGCGCTGTGCTCAGCGGGGTGGCTGCCAG